GAGTGCTGAGGTAGCCTTTTACCTCGAGGTAGTCTTTCAATATTATTAGCATAATTTAAATACTGTTAATAGTTGCAGTTATTTATGTTATTATATTGTTGACGATTTTATTATTATTATTTCATATCTAGAGATTTTACAAAGTACATTTAAGTAGGAATGAGCCCTGAAACATGCAGTTTTTATCCAAAGAAGACAACTTGCAAGACTTAACATTTAACTTATTATTGCTCAAGCTACCATTATGTTATATACTTTAAGTAAGCCGTCTCAGGGTTTTTTTCTCAGGTCACAATGAAGTAGAATCCACACATTATTTGCAGTCAAATCATTCAATGTCTCTTTCATCATAAACCGACTTCATGAAAATGTAGTAAATTTTTGCTCTCAGGTATCTTAAGATCAGATCCTCAAAACAGTCATTTAAACTACAGTACATTTTCAAGACAATACAAAGTTGACCTTAAGATCTTTTACACCACTTAGTGTTTAGTTTGCTCAGGAATACAAGATGACAACTGGCCAGTACTATTTGCACAAGAGAAGTTATTCTGAGATGGGGAGTAGTACCAAACCTCACTGTTACCTTACATAACATGCAACATACACTTGCGTATTCTTTTTTTTTTTTAAAAAAAAAACCTACTTTTATTTCTTCTCTATTTAAAAATGCCAGCAGTAGCTTTATCTATCATACGGTTGCGTGTATTCATTCAGGACTTTAAAAACAGAAATATCACCATTAAAAAACAAATGCATAGAGCAAAAAAAAAAAAATTGCGCTTTTTTTAAGACAGCTTAAAGCTTCTTAGAAGAATCTAAAAGTTCATTGGAACAGATTCTGCATTAATTGGGATTAGAGTTTATGTTACTCTCTCACAAATAAACTGAAGAGGTATTTTATGCATACAGTAGTTTCTAAAACAATTTCCTGGTTTTATGACCCAAAAGAGCTTCTTACTACTCCACAAAGTTCTACTTCAACACACTAGACAAAAGAACAAGCCTAGCTTTAAAAACACAGTATCTATTCTGTTCTGAAAAACGTATGTGGCAGAGGAAACACTGCTTACAAGTGAGACTATACTATGGGACTTGTTCTCCATTGTTTCCATTTTTACTAAACTTCAACCATTCGGTGTAAGTTTTCCCAGGGCGCAGTTAACTGAAGGTGTGATGCTTTTTGGCTGATTCAGTTAAAAACGAGTAAACTTAATTTTCAAGTAATAGAATACAGACTTGGCATATCAAAAAAAAAAAAAAAGGAATGCAGTTTTGCAGAATGCTTGGATACTGACTACAGAAAGCTGTGGTTCTGATATCAGTCATGCATTATAAATTAAGTTTTCCAAGAAACACAAACATTTGGCTAATGTGGAAACTTTCTGAGAGAAGAAAATCATTGTTAAGTTCTCAGCAGATACTGGTTAAAGGGCTGGTGATTCAAACTGCTGTCAGCACTGACTGTGTTCATTCTTTCAAAATTCATGCAGTCTGAAGATAAGCCTTCTTTTCAGCGCTTGACCAGCACAAAGTAAGGCTCTAAGTAGTATAGCCTGAATAAGCTTTTAATAACCTGCAAATTAGCCTGAACTTCCCAGTTCTCCCTCTCACTCTCCTGATTTGCATTAATTAGTAATCCAGGAGGGGAGAAAGACACAAACACTGTAAGCTGCATTCCCAGGTGTTCTTTATTGTGATCAACTATTTCTAGCATTGTTAATACAGAACCCAATAAATGTCAAAATATTACAATAGTTTAAGCTGAAGACAGCTCATTGTCTTTCCAAAGGGAGTTAGCTTCCTTCCTGAAAACTACCTCATTTCCAATAATCCGTCCTGACATCACCGCTGGGGACAGGAGCCCTGTTACTAAGTGATGCAAGGACAGGCTCAGCGATGCGTAAGGCACTTGGAATGCAAGAGGCCAAGCTCAGGGCTCCATATGGCAGAAGAACAAAATAAGAACTACTTTCACCTTTCATCTGAAGGAAATCCAAAGTTTGTCAAACAGGCAGCCTGTTGATAATTCTGCTAAACATTTGCTACGGAACAAGGAAATACGCATAATTATTATTAATGGAGCTTTATGTAGCTCCTCCCCTTCCCAATATGCTCCAGAATACACAACAATCATATGGAGATGAATTTCTTTTTTATTTTTGTGGTTTTTATCATACAAACTAAAACGCAGGCTGTCTCAAATTCCGAAGATGCCTTCTCACGTTACTCATAGTATAGATGAAAATAGCACATATTATATATACATATAATACATACACGTATGTGTATATATATACTATATATATATGTAGTACTATATATTACATATATATATATACACATAGTATAGCATGAAAATATCACCTCATAGCAAGGCCAAGAAAATAGTCATGTGGCATAAAGACTGAATTATTGTGACTACTTCACTTTTGCTTAGAACAACAAAGCCCTGCATCTTATCCAATGCTCACATCCCAAAGATCAGTCCTCCCTCTATATTAACACGTTGTTTCACCACTGAAAAACATCTTTAGAAGCAACACACAAGAAGTTCTAAAGTAAAGTAAAATAAAGTTAATGTAGTTCAATTGCCCAGCGACAATCCCATTATCCACATAAATCCCTATCAGAGCTGGTCTCTGTACTTAGATTGCCTCTACACAGTCACACACGAACTGTTCCGCTTTCTTGGTGTGATCAGCAACACTTCAAACATCCAGAGCAAAAATAAAGACTAAGAACATTGACCGAAACGCTGCCTAAGAGTCTTTTGACACCAAATTGGCCTGTAGCTATGAAGATCCCATTTAGGTGTAACTTAAGATCCTGATCCAGGCATAAAGATACCTGGACTTTGCAACCTGGTCGCCCCTAGGACCACAAATCTTACACAGCCCCTCAGAGAAACCACATGGTATCTGCTCAGAAGGTAACAACGGGAAGACAGATGACAGCCTTCAGTTCTAATGTCCTCCTTCGAGCAGGCACACGTACAGCATGGTCTCTTCCTCCCCTTCAGCAATTCCCTGTATTTTGTACTCAATGTTGGCACTTCAGGTATGAGGTGGTGTGGTTAATCATGGGCTCAGCACATCTGAACGTCAGAGAGACCACAGCTCTACAGTCCTTCTACCAGGCTGTCAATTTAAGAAAGTCAGTAGAGAATGAGGGATTGATGTAAAGCAAGCAGGGAGATTTACAGAGTTTAACCTTGACTTGTGCTTGCCTTCCAAGTTTATTTTGCTCAGAAAAAACGTCTGATATTTAAATGTTACTATTACTAAAACAAGTCAATAACTTACTGTGGTTTTCTACACTAAATTAAACATGTCCTTTGACAAAAAAAAAGTATCATGTCACTTTCAAAAGCAACACAGCCTTGAAGAAGCAAAGGAAGCTGTCCCTAATTAAAGATTCGGATAAGCTGTTTTTTCAGATTTTTGAAATCACCGGAGAACGTGTGAGTGTAACTTCTCCTAACAAACTGGAAGAGAAACTTTCCTGGTATCTCAGTTCCCAGTCAGAAGGGGGAAGTTACTAGTTAAATCAAGGAAATGCCTTTGCTGCTTATTTTTCCTATCAATATTTTGTATGTTGTTTAAACTTTCATACATTCATATTTTCTTCCCTTCACCCATTTAATAGCTTGCTTCCCTTTAAGGGTGCAAAAAACCAACAACACACACAAAGACCTGAACAAGGTTTGTCAACTTCATTATTCCCTTCCAACTTTTCTATACATTTTTTATGCAGGCTGTTAGCTCTCAGACACAAAGAGATAGAATGGCTTATGTCTGAAATGGATTTCTTGGTGTGAGAACTGCTCTGACAGGTTAGATTCTGTTTCTCTCACTGCAGTTTCTCCATTTATTGGGTTTTTTTAAGCTCATTTCCCTGTTTTATTCAATAGCTCTTTCCTCCTCTCCTCTTTTGCCGTACTTCCCTCCAAAGACAACTCATCCACTGCTTACAGTATGTCAATACATTCTCTAAAGAAATTACAGTTATGCAATACAGTCATACATAAACAGCCTTAAAGCACAGTCACAAAATATTCCATGTGCATATTATAAACACTCCATCAGGTCAGCTGCTTAATGAAACAGCACCCTCACGTATGGTCACGTAACCCAATATTAAATCATTTAACAACCCGCCAACAGCAGTTCAGAATGGATTAAAGTGAACACATGCAGCTACACCTACTAGCTTGGCACACAAAATAATCCCTAGCTTAAGCCAGCATTAAAGCACTCACAAGCAGGATGTAATGATGGGGTTTCACAGAAGCCTCTCTGTTTGTTTGGAAGTTTCTAATTACGTGTGAACCTACGGGTATTTTGATTTACTCTCTTGAAAGCAGACGACTCCTACTGAGCACGCATCAGTGGTCTATTCTGCTGTAAATGAATGCAATGCCAACGCCATCCATAAACTTCCTTGTCAGAAGCAGAGGTGACACTGCTTGAATCCAGAAGGCAGAATGCAGCATTCCTGAGCAACTACACTCCTCAGAAAAAACTCCACGGGATCTCTAGCTCATGACTACCAAGCAGTTAGAGTAGATCAGTGCAGGCTACCATATGAAACTGTGATAGGAGACACCAGCTTTTCAGGGTTCTAATACATATCTCACAGGCTGAAATTAAGTTCCCCAAAGAGATACCCTTGCTCACACATTGTATCGGTATTACTTTAAATTCCATTTTCTAAACAGATGTTTTCTAGTCTCTTTCTAAACAGAAGTATAGGTAAGATTTTAATCAAAGTTTTAAAGTCTTCCTTATATCCATACTGGTTATGTACGGATGGCTATAGAGCTAGCATTTAAGGCCCTTTTGTGTTTTATTGCTACGGATTTTAAAACACATGAAATCAAAAGCTTTCTCTAAGCTCAATTCTAAATGGCCATCTTGCAGATCAAGATGTTTACCTTTTTCCAGATCTGTGACCACGGATCTGAAAACATGCAAGTAACCAGCAAGAGAATATATGCACTGGGAAGGACCAAGAGTCAACTCCCATCCTCTTCCCCACAAAGAAACGAACACACACATGCTCGGTCTCTCTCTTCGCCCCTCCTCTCGAGTTTAGAGTCCAGAATAGATGTTATGCTTGCTCCTCTTCTCCCCACATGAACTGCTACAATCCAGGCCTAAATGCGCTTCTCAACCTGGAATAACAGCAGGGATGGCTGGAAGGTAGACTTTAGCCTACCAAGCTATGCTATGTTACAGCAAGAACAGAAACTAACCAAACTCCGATACTGTTATCTGACAATTCCACCTGGCTACTGGTTTATCTGTATCTCCCTTCTAAGCTTCAAGTCACTATCACTGACTCAGCATTTCAGCTCTCTATTCACCCGTTCTCTTCCTACTGCCTTCCCACATTCTTGACCAGTGTCTCCACCCAAGCAAGTTTATGTGTTTATCCATACAGCCAGCTGAAGACGTAGCTGACATCCACACTATGGAAAAGCTGAAGTTCAGAGTTAATAACCTCTGAAATATAGGGAAATGTGAATTATCATCTGGAGTGTACTTAAAAAGAGGAAAGAAATGAAGAAACAGATCAGTCACTTGGGTGTAAATTCGAATCACTTTGTGGTCTACCATCTTATTACAATAGAGTTCTAAATGTTCTCACTGAATGCTGTTTGCTTTCATCTCTAGAACTACTCCAGCTTCCATGCTGACTTATGTAATATACTTTACATAAAACGTATATTCATATAACATAATGTATATTTCTCAGCTCAGTGCTCCAACCAGCTGTTCTGGAATATATTATGTAAAGCAAGCACCCATAAACAAATCCCAAGATTCAATAACTAAGAATACAGTGTGTCCTACCTGTCCTGGCTCTTCCTTCTTCAGTTCATCCTAAAACGTAGCACTGTTTGGGCAGTTACCCAAATATAGTGGAGAGGCAGTGTACTTTGCTGCGCGGGTGTTTCACCTCAACTAGCCTATCCCAGAGTAATGCTGTAGTAAAGACTGATTCTTACAGGAAAGACAGATGAACCTTTCAGTATGTTCTGCAAGTAATCAGATCTACAGTCTTTAAGGTAAAAAAAAGGATGTCAAGGTCAGTGTCAGACAGAGAGCACAAAGCCTTTCAAAAAACCACAAAACAACTAGATAATGACTGCCAGCAAGGAAAAATAAAGACTATTAGATCAATTTCATCTGCAGATACTACTTCACTGAGAGAAGCAGCAATAACACTGCAAATAGCTACCTCAACTCCACCCACAGTACAACCTGAAGCTACTGTAGTTAATAGTCAGCATTGCTAATGCCAGTGCACAAATGCAGTAGGATAAAAATTTTAAGCTAAAAAGCATTCTGCAGCCTTTCAAGATAGCGTTGCATTGGAGAGTGTACAACAGCAGTCAAAGATAGGCTAGACACCTAAAAATAAACAAACAAAAAAATAATTTAGCAGTGATTTACAGGAGATCCACCCTCTTTCAGCAGCTCTGAGCACTCTTCTGATCTGCTGAGCTAGTGAGAGGTGGAAAGGCAGACTGCCCCACTCGTGTATCAGTCCCTGTGGTCAAATTGCTACCATTTCTTCCTTTCCCTCATCTTGAACATCTGTGGTGCACCTGATCATTCAGGACTACACAAGACTGAGATACAAAACTGCAATCATTCAGCATGGTCCGTATCTAAATTACGACACTAATCGCCACTTAATCTTTGTCAGTTTAACTTCTTTTCAAATTTCTCAAACAGTGGAATCAGGCCTAGACATCATTATAAAGACTCCTGTGTATCCCTTAGCACTAGAATTTGTACATGCCAGTATGCCAAAAGAAAAATGCATCCTTTTCCCTTACCACACACTATCTAACCCTATAACAGGAAGCATCTTCTTCAAGAATCTTCTTCCCTGTGTTCAGCCATCTCCATGAACTGGCAGGCACAGAGAGAAAACAAATCATTCACTTGAAACAGAAAGGAAAAATACACAGTCCCACACCACAGTTAATGCCCATAGTGAATTTTGGCTACTTTCAAAACCTTTTAAAAAAATTGTATTTATTTGAATACATGGTACTGTGTAGGCAGTTCTGTATAATGTAAAAGATTGAAATTAATACCCACATGGCTGTGGGTATTAAAGTGATTACTTCTGTCGCAAAACTGATGTCAGAACTCACTTTCTCTTTGAAGACTTTTCTGACAGAGACCAACTCTCTAGAATGTTTTTGTGTGTGTAAACATGCAGAGGCCAGACACAAAAATACTATTCTATCAGGGATCGTACAGTGACTCATACAATAAATAACACTGGTGCTGCTTAGGCTCCCAGGAAAGCAGCCTGTTCAACTTGCAGAACCAGTCTAACACCACCTGAAAAAAAAACCCAAAAAACCCCAAAAAAACAGCCCCCAAAAACCTCCCTCTTTGGTGCCATTGCTTTAACTTACTACTTACCTCCCCTCCTGTCAGTTCATTCTGACAACCCAGTCAAGTTCAGCTAAAGGGATACTGACACAACAGCACCACATAAGCCTCTTCTAGAACGCTCACCTTGTGTTTTGCTTCACTCACCTCTTTCAGTGTAGCTTCTAAGACACAATATCTCACTTTTGCGTTGTTACTGCTCGGGCACACTGCTTGGTCCCCACCCTTCCTGCACTACTATGTCACCACAACTACAAGCATGGAACATGTTCCAAGAATACCTGGTAAACCTTTTTCTCGCTTAGAAACAAAAAAAAAGGCAACATTGGTCTCTCATAACAATAGTGCGAAAACATCAAACCACGATAATGTGTGTAGCAAAAGCACTGACAGAACAGCTGAAAACACTTTTCTATGTAACTACTCAGAAAAGCCCCTAGGATTTTTTTAAAGCCTTAAACACGAGTCTTTTTTAAGTTTTCTCAAAAGGATGCAAAGCGAAACTCGGTATTTAGACAGATGATGGAGAGTCGTTCAAAACAAATTCTCAAAATGTTAAGACGTCCGAAGCAAGACCATGTAGCCACAAACTTTGAGGGGGCCAAGCACCTCCCAAGAAGCCACATGGATAATACGACAGGCACCGTTTACTTACTGCACCCACTGCCCACAAGTAAACGCTTTATTTCGGTCCTCCTCTTAGTAATTCTTCGGCTTAACGAGGCCCTTTCGCGTTGTAAGCGTGACTCGAGTATGGCACCAGGTACCTGCACACGCCACACCCCTCGCACGGATCGCCCCCTTTCCACCACAGCGAACCTGTGCTGGGCAGACCTGGGCCCAAGGCTCCTCCGCCACCATAGCGAAGGGGTTTCTCGGCTTCCAGGGCTGCATGACTTCACTCGCAACCTCGGACGTCCCCGCGACCTTCGGCAGGAGACCGCGCCGGGACAGCCCATCGCTCCG